TTCGACTTGATTATTCTTTATTACATTGCATTACCAATTTATACTGATTAAAATGCTAATGTTATATGCTAATAAAGGATTATAATTAATTTAAAAATTTTCCCAAATTAGTAAGAATGAAACATTTATGAGAAATTCTACTCGACTGTGTACTAAATAACAGAAAAAGAGATTTTAAAATAAGATAAGCAGAAACAATTTGGTGATGTAAGCTGTTCTGGTCACTTTTGTTTTCCTTGAGACTTTCATAAAGGTTGCTTGCCTGGAAACTTGTGAGGTATCACTTCTATAAAAACTGAATATAGAAATGGAAGCAGAATCTTTAACCACCTGTAGCCACTCCAAGCCTAATTCATCACCTTACTTTGCTTAGGGTCTATCACACTAGCACTTATTTGTGCTAATAGTATCAAAAATACATTGTATATTTATAAATATATTTGTCAAATTGATGCATTTGAAAGTAGCTAATATTAATTCTAATTATCTTGCTATTTTTATAGTGATTTTAATGGGAATTAAGTCTTAGCCACAGCACTAACTTTACAACATTTCTATACTGTCATGTTAAATCCCTACAACTACATATCCTACTGAGATGCATTTAGGGAATTACACTTTGTGACTGAAATGAATACTCACATATACACATACAGCAAGAGATTAAGAGTTTAAACAAACCAAGAAATGAGGTTTACAAATGTAGAAGAGAATGTATGCATTTGCTTATTGTTCTGTGGGCTACTTAAAAGTCCTATGCAAAAAATTTTTAAAATAGCTTTAGAGCTAGTTTCATCTTTACATTTTTATCTTACCCCAAAATGTACTGCTACCTCATCTAGTGTTAGGTACATACACTATGATGAGATGTTTGAAAAATAAAATATTTTAAATATAAATCACATAGAGATGTCTTTATCACTCTAAATCTCTGAATTGACCAGAATGTAGTAGCAACATAAAGGTTACAGATGCCTAAGGGCACCACTAGCAGAAGGTAATGTGGAACCACAACCATTACCCTGCCACGTAGAGCACAACTTCTGCCACTCACAGGGGAGACAGATGGCAGTGAACTTCACAACTCAGGACTAACACTGTCATCTAGTTTAATCTGTACCTGGTGAGAGGTATACACCCCAATGATGACTTTTGTATACTAGTGAGACTTTTTAATTTTCCCCTTAATGTCTTACTAAACTGTTTAAAAGACGGTTGATATAAGCAGCTCTTATCTATGGTAGGTCCAAGTGGTTTGAAATAAACCGTCTCTGAGTGGACTGAAACAATTTGCATAGGAGCAGCATAAACTGGATTTCTTTAGTGATGTTTAATTATAAAATGTTTCAAATGAGCAGAAAACTGTATAGCTGACATCCACATGGTCAAAACCCGTATTTACCTGATGTTGCTTTATATATATGCTATGGTTTGAAGTTTGTATTGCTCCAAAATTCATATGTTAAAATCCTAATCCCCAAAGATGCTGATATTAGAAGATGAGGCTTTTGGGAGATTTTTAGGTCATGAGAGTGGAGCCCTCATAAATGGGACTAATGTTCTTATAAAAGAGACTCTACAGAAACCCCTCATCCTTTCCATCATGTCAGGATATAGTGAGAAGGTGCCAGCTATAAACCCAGGAAGTAGGCCTCCTACCAAACATGGCCACGCTGGAGACTTGGTCTTGGAGTTCCAGCCTCCAGAACTGTGAGAAATTAATTTCTACTGTTTAGAAGCTACCAAGCCTGTGCTATTTTGTTATAGCAGCCAAATGGAATAAGATAATATCTATTTACCAAAAGAAGAAACATTACAGATGCATCTAAGTCACCTCTTCTGTATTTTTCCCTTTCTCCATTTTTTCCCACCAGAGATTATCATTGTTCTGTGGCTACTGAGAGTCATCCCCAAGCATGTCTTTATACTTTTTGTTTGTTTTATTTTGGGGTGTTTTTTTTGAGGGTGGGTAATTAGGTTATTTATTTATTTATTTATTTATTTTTAATAGAGGTTCCAGGAGTTGAACCCAGGATTTTGTACATGCTAGGCATGTACTCTACTGCTGGCCCGTGCACTCCCTACTTTTATACTTTTAAATACAGGTATAAAATTATAAGTGATTAAAAAAAAGTGTTTTAGACATTTTCCTATTTTATATGAATGGCATCCTTTTGTAATCTGCTAATTTAAATGAACTTTGTTTTTGAGATTTATTTGCTTTAATGCATGTAGACTAGTTCATTCATTTTAATGTGTATAGTATTCCATTGTATGAAGAAAAACCACTCTTAATTTGTCTGTTTTCTTATTGAAGGGCATTATTAATGATTTCCATTTTAAAAAAGGCTGCCATAATACATGCATCTTGTGCTCATGCAGAAGAAATACTCTAGTATTTATCCTAAATTTAAATTGCTGGATCGATGCATATAGATTTTGCAATTTTAATGAATACTACTAAATGCTCTTTAGAGTAATTCTACCAAATTATACACTTATTTGCTGTGAATAAAAAAAACTCCTGTGACTTCACATCCTAAGCAACACTTTTTAATTTTTGCCAATGTGATGAGTATGAAATTATTGTTTTAATTTATATTTCAGGAACAGTTGTACCCTTAAGGGTCTTCTTTTTTTAATTAAACTCATATCAACACATGATCGAAGAGTCAAACAATATTTACAGTTCTGTCTTAGGATGAAGAGAGCAGGAAGATGCATTTCAAGGAAAAAGAGCCAGATTAACTTTAATTTCACAAATTTTTTTTTTACTATCCATTGAATGAACAGTGAAAAATTGGCCCAAAATAAACAGACTTATAGAGAGAGGGGACATATGAGCACTCACTCACCTAGCTGGCCATCCAACTCTCAACAAAAAATTATAAGACATATAAGAAGGCAGGAAAAACTCACAAGAGACACAGCAATCAGTAGAATCAAATTCAGATATGACACAGACGTTGTCACTGACAGGGAGTTTTAAAAAACTATGGTTCATCTATTAAAGATGCTAATGAAAATGATTGAAAACATACAAAATCAGATGGATAATTTCAGCATGGAGATGAAACTTATAAAAAAACAAATCAAATTGAAATGCTAGAAATAAAAAATGTAGTAATAGAGATGAAGAGTTTCTTTAAAATAGTCATCAGTAGATTTAGCACCGTGAAAGAATAATTGAACTTGAGGGAAAGGCAATAGAAATGATCCAAACTAAAATACAAAGAGAAAAACAAAAGAGAAAAAGAAAGAGAAAGAGAGATAAACAGAACCAGAACCAGAACTTTCAAGAGCTATGGGACATTATTAAACATTCTAACATAAGTGTTATTGGAACCCCAGAATCCCAGAAGAAAACGAGAAAGAAAACGAGCAGAAGAAATATTTGAATGTGTAATGCATAAAATTTTCCAAAATTAATGACAGACACGAAAGCACAGATTCAGAAATTCAGAGACCATCAAACAGGATTTATAACAACAGACACACACACACACTCTAAGGCATATTATATTGAAACTGCTGAATACAAAAGACAAAGAGAAAATATAGAAGTCAGCCAGGGAAAAAATTAACATTATTTACAGAGGAATAAAAATAAGATTTATGGTAAACTCATCAGAAATCAAGCAAACCAGGAAGCAGGATATATCTTTAAAGTTCTGGGGAAAAAACAACAACAATAACAACAACAAAAAAACTCCTGCCAAACTAGAATTCTACATCCAGTGAATGAAATTTTCAAAATTAAAGAAAACAAATAATTTCTCAAACAAATAGCTAGGGAATTCACCGTTAGTAGACCTACTCTACAAGAAATTATAAATGTTTAGGCAGAAGTAACATGTAAGAAAAAAACGGAATCTATGCAAAGAAATGATGAAAACAGGAAATTGACTGAGGTAATGAAATAAGGAATGCAGTTTGCCTCTGCAAGCTGGAAAATGTAAGGAAATAGATTCTTCACCTCAGAGCCTCCAGGAGGAACTAGCCTCTTTAACATCTTGGCATTAACCCAGTAATACTGAGTTTAGACTTCTGACGTGAAGAACTATAGGACAACAAATTTGTGTTGTTTTTGAACTACTTAATTTGTGGTTTAATATGTCATAGCAGCAATAGGAAACTGATACAGATGTATATTTTAAGCCTTAGGGCAACCACAAAAAATATTTTTAAGAGAAATAAATAATAAATCAGTAGAGGAGACAAAATAAAATCTTTCAGAATTCTTGATTAGCATAAGGAAAAGAAAAAGATGAAAGAAGAAATGACCAGATGGAATAAACAAAAAACAGCTAGCAAGATGGTAGATTTCTTTGAAACCATATCAGTAATGAAATAAATGTGAATAGGCTAAACACACCAGTTAAAATACAGAGATTGTCCTATTATATTAAAAAGAAGCAAGACCAAATCATAAAATGTCTATGCAAAGCTCATTTTAAATGTAAAGACATAAAGACATATATAGATTTAAATTAGTGAATGGAGAAATAGATACCATGCAAACACTATTCAATAGAAAGCTAAAGTATATTAATATCAGACAAAGTAGACTTTAAAACAAGAATATTAAAAATTAAAAGGCCATTACATAATGATAAAAAGTCCAATTCTTCAAAAGGACAAAACAATTCTAAGTGTATGTACCTAATAACAGAACTTCAAAATACATAGAACTCAAACTGAAGGAACTGAAAGGAGAAGTAAACAAATCCAACATTATAGCTGAAGACTTCATCACTCTTCCCTCAGTAATTGATTGAACAAATAGAAAGTCAGTAAGAATAGAGAAGATCTGAACACTATAAACCAGTTACAACTAATGAATATTGAGAGAATACTTCACCAAAAGAAGCAGCATATACTTTATTTTCAAATGTATATGGAACATTCACCAAGGTAGACCCTATGCCTAGCCAAAAAATAAACCTCAACAAATGAAATAAAATTTGAAAGAAAAGAAATCATGCAAATTATGTTTTGTACTAAAACAGAATTAAAGTAGAACTCAATAGCAGAAAAATATCTGAAAAATCCTCAAATATTCAGATATTAATATATTTTTATAAAACCTATGTGTCATAGAAGAGTATTAAGAGAAATCAAAACGCATTTTGAACTAAATGAAAATAAAAACTACAACATACCTCAAAACTGTACCTATTAGCAGTTCTTAGAGGAAAAATTATAGGGTTAAAACTTACATTAGAAAAGAAGAAAATTCTAAAGATAATATCCAGTATTGCACCAGAATAAGCCAAGTAAAAAGAACAAACTAAACCCAAATAAACAGAAAAAAAAGTAATAAAGTCAAATATCAATGTAATTCAAAACAGAAAAACAGTAGAGAAAAATCAGTGACACTAAAGTTATATCTTTGAAAATATCAATAATGTTGCTAACTCTCTACTTACACTATCTAAGAAAATAAGAAAGAAGACACAAATTGTGAGTATCACACACAAAGAACAGTTTCTCCAGACCTTAAAAGGGTAAGTATATAAAGCAGCCCCCAAATGGCTGTCTTGGTTAGTGCCTTCTGGTATTAATGGTCATATGTAATTCTCTTCCTCTGAGTGTTGACTGGACTTAACTGATTTGCATCTAATAAAGCATTCTAGAAATGAAAGGATATCACTCTTGAGATTGGATTGTGAAAGGACTGTGACTTCCATCCTGGATGCTCTCTCTTGCTTTTTCCTGCACTGCTTGACCTGAGGGAATCCAGGTACCATGTTATGAGACAGCTTTGTAGAGGCCTACATGGCAAAGGACTGAGACCTGTTAACAACTACCTGAGTGAGCTTGGAAGTGGATTTTCCACCACCACTGATCTCCCCTTCCAGGTCAGTTTCAGATGAGCCCACTGCCCTGGCCAGTGGCTTACCTGCAACCACATAAGAGATCATGAGCCACAGATATCCAAATAAGGCAGGCTTCTGCTTTGAACCATGGGCTCCTGACCCACAGAAAGTCTGAGAAAATAAATGTTTAATATTTTAAGTCCTTGTCTTTAATTCTCAGTGTCATTTTTTACCCAGCAATAGATAACTAATCCAATAAAAGGGTAATAAAGCAATTCTATGCCCATAAATTTGATACTGTTGATGAAATGAACCAATTCCCTGAAAGAGAAATATTACCAAAACGTACTCAAGAAAAAAAAGATCACCTGAATAGTTTTATATCTATTAAATAAATAGAATTTATAGTTAAAAATCTTAGACACATATACACATAGCAGGCTCAGATGGCTTCAGTGATGAATATTACAAAATATTTAAGATGTAAATAATACCAATTAAACAAAACCCCTTCTAGAAAATATAAGAGAAAGGAATATATCCTAACTCAATTTGAGGCCAGCATTATCCTAATATCAAAACCATAAAAAAGATATTACAAAGAAAGACAACTACATATCCTCTAGAACATAGACACACAAGAAAAATCCTCAGAAAAATTAGCAAATACAGCAATGTATACCAAAAAAGTACATCATGACCAATTAGGGTTTATCCCAGGAAGGAAGGCTCATTAATTATAAAATCAATCAATATAATATATGATATTAACAGAGCAAATAGAAAAATCATTTCATTATATGTAGGAAAAAATATTCAACAATGCTTTTTCAACAAAATTCAACATCATTTATGATATAAACTCTCAGCACAGTAGAAATAGAGGTAACATCCTAATAAAGGGCATCTCCAAAAACTTACATGTAACATCATACTTACTAGTGAAAGACTGAATTCTTTCCCACTAAGATCTGTAACAAGGCATGGGTAGCATTTTTCACTGCTCCAATTTACTGTTGTACTATAAAATCTAGGTAATGCAATAAGCTGAGAAAAAGAAATCAAAAGCATAGAGGTAAGAAAAGAGGAAATAAACTCTATTTTCAATGGCATGATTGTCTGTTTAGAAACCTTTAAAAATCTACCAAAAAAAGCTACTAGAATTAATAAATGAGCAATCCAAGTTGCAGGATACAAAGTCAACACCAAAAAAATTGTATTTCTATATATTAAGTAACAATTATAATATGCAGTTACAAAGACAGTACTGTTTCTGTTAGCACCAACAAATTTAACATGTGAATATAAATGTAAAGAAAAAAAGTACTGTACCTATAAGGTGAAAGCCGTGAAAGATTGACAAGAGAAACAATAATTATAATAATTTTAAAAACTTAAATGGAAAGATGTATCAGGTCCAAAGATTAGAAGATCAATACTGTTAAGATGTCAATTCTTCTCAATTTGGTTGGTGAATCCAACTAAATCCCAGGGGAGTTTTTGTAGATGTTGACAAACTGATTCTAAAATTTATCCCTTCTCAAACATCTAGTGATCTTTAAATACCTATTAAAATGTAAGAATTAGCTTCTGTAAAGCTAACTGAAACCTCAGTGTGTTTGGGGGAGGTTTGTCCATTAGTGAGTTCACTCTGGATGACAGGGCAGTGCCTCTGCGTTTTACTGGGGACCCAATGCCAGTTATTTGTTGGGCTTTTCACTGGGCTGTTTAATTTCTTTTGCAAAAAAATCCATTCAGTTTCTGATTTAGTATGTGCTGATAAATGCCGGGCTGTCAAAATTCTATTCAAATAACCTGGGAAATAAGATTGGGTGGGTGGGAGATGTCACTAACGGGTAAAATTTTACTTAACCTCTTATTTTTATTCCAGTATCTCATCCCCACTTTCAACTGACTATTTTCTCTGAATCTGTTGCTTCTGTAGTTCATTTTTTTCCCCCAAGAATAAAGCTTCTGGTTTTCTCACAGAGAAAAATAAACATGTGGTTGGTAGGAAAGCAGAGCAGAACTTGGTTTTAACTCCATCAAATTTGCCGCTATGCTTTTATCCTGTTCTCGATCTCCTTTCGAAAGTAAATGGTGCTGTTTCCTGAGCCTTATAAAGATTTTGCTTGGTGAATTAGTATGCTCTGTAGAGGCATCTCTGTCCTGGTGTTGAGGCTTAAACTCTCTTTACACAGGTCAATAAACACGCCTTTGTCCACTTTCTATCTTGCAAATATTTATGGACATCTTTTATTGACTATTGTTTCTTACTATTGATATCTACTGTCATTTTAGTAGAGTTGCATAAGACAGCAGAGATAAATTAACATTTTAAACTCAAGCCATTTAATTTTATATCTGAGGTTGATATGATTTTCTTATGATTATTGGTCATTCTCTTTTTTTCTTGTGAATTGTTAGTCTTGGCCTATTTTTCTGTTGTGTTGTGTGTGTGTGTGTGTGTTAGTGTTATTATTTATAGGCAATCTTTATTTCCTGGGAGATAAAAATAATTAGAGCGAAAAAGAAAGTTGAGTCAGTGAGACGCACGAACATCATGTCCCTTTGATTAAGACAATCAAAATACATTAACCGAAAAACTTTTTAATTATAAAAAAGACTTACAAAGTTCCAACCATATATTACACAATCAAAATGGAAATTGCAAAACTGAGTTTTATTTTTCTCAAAGTATAAGATTTAATTTCTGTCCCCTCTTAGATGCACTCGCCCCCATCTTCACCTGGCCTCATTTGCTTGACTTGCTTCTGACCTGAGCATCACTTCATACACGTTTGACTGGGATTGTATTGAATCCATAGACCAATTTGTGAAGAATTTACTTCTTTACAAAATTGTATTTTTCAAACAATAAACATTTGCCATTTTAGCCCTTTTTGAAGTGTACAGTTTAGTGGCATTAAGTACATTCATGTTCTTATGCAAGCATCACTCTCATCCATCCTCAGAATGTTTTTCATCTTCCCATCTGAAACTCCATATCTATTAAACACTGAGTTCCCATCTCCCCCTTCCTCCAGCCCCTGACAATCACAATTCAGTTTTCTTCTCTATAAATTTGACTACTCTGTGTATTTCATATAAGTAGAACTATATAGTATTTGCCCTTTTATGACTGGCTTATTCCACTTCAGATAATATCCTCAAGGTTCATCTATGTTGTGACGTGTGTCAGAATTTTCTTCCGTTTTAAGACTGAATAATGTTCTATTGTATGTCTATACCATATTTTGTTTATTTATTTATATGTCAATGGACGCTTGGATTGCTTCCCCCTTTGGACTATTGTGAATAATGTTGTTATAAATGTGGGTGTACAAATATCTATCCAAGACTGCTTTCACTTGTTTTGAAAGTAAAACTTATGAATCATATGGTAATTCTATTTTTAATTTTTTTAAAAACTGCCATTCCATTTTCCATAGCAGGTGCACCATTTTACATTCCCCCAGCAGTGTGAGGGGGTTCCAGTTTCTCCACATCCTATCCAAGACTTGTTACTTTCTGTGTTTTTGATAATAGCCCTCCTAATGGGTATGAAGTGGTATCCCACTGTGGTTTTAATTGGCATCTCCCTCATGATTAGCGATGTGGGCTACCTTTTCATGTGCTTGTTAACCACTTGTATGTCTTCTTTGGAGAAATGTCTGTTCAAGTCTTTTGCTCATTTTTAAATTGAGGGTTTTGTTTTGTTTTGTTTTTCTTTTGTTGAGTTGTAGGAATACTTTGTTCTGGATATTAACCCCTTATCACACATATGATTTGCAAATATTTTCTCCATTTTGTAGGTTAACTTTTCATTGTGTCTTTTGATGTACAAAAGTTTTGAATTTTGACTTGGTCCAATTTATCTGTTTTCCTTTTTGTTGCTTGTGTTTTTCATGGTGTAACCAGGAAATCGTTGCCAAATCTATGTCAAATTGTGTTTGAATTAATTTTTGTACATGGTATAAGCCTAAGCTTCAACTTCATTCTTTCGCATGAGGATGTCCGATTTTCCGAACACTATGGTTAAGAGTCAATAATTTTTGAAAATGTTGAACAGCATCTCTTCAAATATTGCTTCTGTCCTATACTCCCTTGCCTATTTTTCTTTCAGAACTTTTACTGATGTACAGTATATCCCTTACTCCTTTATGATTTTCATCTCTTTTCCCTCTGTTTTTTAATCTGGTATTTTACATTGACTTAGGGTCTAGTTTACACTTTTCTTTGCTGTGCTCAATATAGTAAAACCATCTATTAAACTCTTAATTTTTCTTATTGTATCTTTTAGCTTGTATGCCTTTAATAGAATGAACTCTATGGACTGACTAATGGATTCCAGTTAAGTTTCACCAGTCAGGAGTGCTCATACAGAAGATTAAAGAAAGGGAGGAGAGTGAGAGCAAGATATCTTTAACCTGGCCCTCTTCATCCATCCCTGGTGGATGTCTGCACTCCTGCAGGACCTGGTTCTAACCGCTATTCTCTCACTTCTTTAGGCCTAAAGGGGATAATGTGCTCTGCTAGTACCTCAAACTGTACACTAACTCTAGCGTTTTCGTTATATCCTATCCTTAGCTTTGTAAACAGTCCTTTCATTCGGCATTCCACAAATCATTCAATTTGGGTGCACCATCCTTTTCTATCTGAGATATTGATTATAATGGATTGTATATGTAGAAAATCTTGGTTTATCAATATTTCATTGACTGGTTTCTGGATTTTTTTCATACTTTAAAAGGTCATTTTTTTAAACAAATATTGTATAAATGAAGTTTCCATGTTCCTATTTTTATGGCTTCCAATGTTAAATTCAAATCTATGATCCATCTAATATTTATTATAATATTAGAAACGAGGCATTACTCATTTTTTCCTACAATTTTTGTGACTATTCTTGCTTGTTTGTTTTATGTTTGACTTTTAGAATCTGTTTATTAAATTTAAAAACATATTACTGGCATTTTTACTGAACGAATAAACATTTATAGATTGATTTAGGGATAAGTGACATTTTCAAGTCCACTTAATTATAAGTGTGGATACCTCTATTCTTTCTCTTTGTTCATGTCTTCATTTCTCGCTAGATTTTTAGAGTTTTCTTTGCAGAGATTGTTTGCAATTCCTGTTACCCTACATGTTTTATCGAAGTTGTTATTGTAAGTGATGTCGTCTTCCATTATCACTTGTAGCAGGTTTTTGTTTATGTGTATAAAGCCTAGTGATTCTTGATATGACTGTTTTAATTTTGAACCCAGCCACTTTACTGAGTTATCTTTACATTTATAATAGTTATAAATTTTCCAAGTTTTTCTTTAATCAGCCTTTGGTAAAAGAAATATAGAAGCAGCATTCAGATTATGTGTTCTATAAAAGCTTCAAGCAGGAGGTACCTTTAGCTGAGTCCCCCAGTTCAAGTGGGATTTTGATAGTTCTAAGTAAAGGTGAGAGGAATGTGATAAGAATGTTTTAGATCAAGGAAGAAACAAACAATAATGGTTAGAAGAGACAGAGCACATGGTTGACTTGAGGACATCATTCAGTGTCATGAAGCAATGGGCTATGAAATGGAGAACTGTGAGGCATGAGAAGGGATGAGTTCATTTAGGGCTTTGCAAGGAAGGAGGTAGGGATTTATGCTGAGAACAAGCAACTGAATGATTTCAGCAGAAAAGAAATTAAGTTGACTCTTCCAACATGGAGAATGATTTTTTTGTTGTTGTTGTTAAGATAGCTGGTTCAAATGTTGCAGTATTATGGGAGATAAACTCTGTAACATAAATAAAGAAGAATGCATGGGTCAAAGACATATCAATGAGATAGAATCTACAAGAGTTGATGACTAACTGGCAGAGAGAGGACAGGAGACGGAGAAGGTAAGGATTCTGGCTGGAGCAGTGGATGGAGAAGGAGGAAAGGATTTGTAGAGGAAGGGGATGAGTTTAATTTTGATGAGGTTGCATTTGAGAAGACTGTGGAACATGTACATATTAATTTACTAAATATATCTATGTATTCAATCTACTTATTCATTTGTTTATTCAACA